TTGTGGAGCTATCAGCAATTTAAAGCGATAATTTTAAATAATCTAGTAAATGTCATGTATTTGAAATACAAATATAAGCAATTATAATGCATAACATAATAACTTAAAGAGATAATATTTGTTCTTTTTACATAATATATAAGAAATTTATTTTTATATTTAAAATATTTTTTTATAAAAATCATTTTATGTCACACAAATTGTTATACAAGACTAACTTTTACTATGATACTTATAATAAGTTAGTATTTATTAATAGGTATTTATAAAAATGTATGAGGTCTGAGGAATGCATCTTTTTAGCCGAACAATCGGATGAATGTGAAGATAACATCGAATTCGAGGACGAATTGGTCGAGCATTCAACAGTACAATACATCCTTTTAGAAGCTGATCATGAATCGGACTCGGAGTTAACGTTTGACGATATTCAAATGACGTTGCAAAATATGAAGATTTCTCGCGAGAAATCGTTAGAAACAAACGACAAAAAATCGGGCAAGTTGCAAGATGATTACTCGAGTATCCAGCAAGACTCGCGTGAATCTTCGATAAAGGAAGAATCATCATTTAGTGAAGACACATTTGAGCTTTATATGTCGCCGCAGTCGACGATCGACCGAACATGCGTTTCCGTCTTGGAGGAAGATCGACAGCGATTGATCGACGTGTTGACCGACTCGCCACCATCACCAACGAAGATTATTTCGCAGACGCCACTGAAAGTTAAACGCTCACGCAAGCAGCAATTAATCTCGGTGGATCGGGATGATGGAGAGATCATTATTCAGCCAGCATCGATGATAAATGATGAATCGATCGGTAAGAAACGTACAACTCGCCGACGTCGATTGTCGTCGCAAATACGTGTCGCCATGGCTAACCGGAAGGGGATCAAGGGGGCGAGGCGAATTAAGCGGCCGAAGCGGCGGAAGGTGAATGCACATAGAAGCGTACATTACAATTAAAAAGACAAATTAAAGAACGAATGAGAGTATAAAGGTGCAGTAATTAGTACGCAAAGATTTAAAAAAAAATATATTTACTTCATAATATTACATTCATTAGAGATTCGATTTTCCGATGGATATAATTATGGAGTAAATAAATGTATTTTTCAAAAGAAATCTTTGCGTACTATTTACCGCGCTGTTATACCCTCATTTGCCATTTAATTTGCCTTTTTGCTTCATTATTAGAGTCCTCTTACAAATTTATTTTTATTAAATTAGGATTCTTAAAAGTTTCATTCCTATTTACAAACCTTAATCTGTCAAGTTAATATCGTTAACTCTTTTTAATACTTATGAATTGTTTCCGTTCAGCTATTGTTGTTCTACTATTATGATCAATCAAAAGTCGCAAAATTAAATCAATAAATAAAAGAAGGGCTATGAGTCAATTAAAATTTAAAGAATATTTAATATTCGTACAAACGTTTCGACGCTGATCGGGTCATTTTCAATATAAAAACAAATAATATTACATAAGTTGTCGAAGTTTATCCAGTGAAACGTATCGATTGTTTCTGTATTCCCTATTTTTTTATGTGTGTGGTAAAATTAGCATCATTTGACTGATATAAAAGTGATCTCATCTTATTTTTAAATCTACAATCTTACAAATAAAATTATCAAAAACTGTTCACATCAACAGAAAAATAAAAATAATAAACTGACATTGCAATACAATTGATACAAATACTAATACTTAAAAATCAAACAGATTGGTATATGAAACGTCCGTTACAATTAAAATTAAATTATATAATCATATGTATATATTATAATAATTTAGTACCAATTAAGTTACATACATATATTCACATAATTGTGAAAAATTTTTCCTTGACTTTTTTTGTTAACAGTTCTATTATTAGAATCAATGTGGAACTTTATTCTTTTTTGTATTGAAGAAAAAACAAATTCCAGTGGATAACCATTACTTAAAAAAATATTGATTGCAAAATTAAATATATTTAAGCTTATCAGAGAGTAAGAGTCGACAAAAATAGTCTAAATACATTAACATTTTTAAGCGTCGACAAATCTTTGTAATGACTAGCTTTTTAATGTGTCAAAAATTGTAGGTCGTAGAAGTAATCGATCTGGACGTCGACGAGGAAGAGCAGCAGACGACGCGCAACGTGGTGGAGATCACTTTAGACGACAACAAGGACAAATATTCCAGCGATAAAGAGAACGAAATTATCATGGTGAGGGATTCGGATTCCAGTAGCAGTGATCACGAAGAAAACGAGAAGACTGAATGGGCCGGTGGCCGTTTGACGAAGCTCAATGGCGAGATACGTTGCGAGTATTGTTCTAGAAACTTTCGGTACCGACGTACTCTCAATATGCATCTTCTGGTTTGCCAGAAAACGCCAACGAACGCCCTCAACCTCGACAAAGAAAAATCGAAAGGCAAAACAAATAAGAAAATTAACAAGCAGTTTACTTGCAAGATCTGCCAGGAGAAATTTGACGCGGTCGTCGTCTTGGCGCGTCATGTTCGCTTAGTGCACGTGCCGAGAAAGAAGAACGAGTTAAGCTTGTCCTCAGAAAAGTATGCGAATCCATATTTTTTTCTGATATATAGAATCACTTGTTATATATCATTTTATACAAATTCAATATTCAGCTTTTTTTTTTTTTAATTTCTCGTCATTTACTCGACAGATCTTCGAGTAAATCCTTGAGATCGATTCGAGAGAAGGAACCAAATTCGACGGAGGAGGAGGAATCGGATGACGAAGACGACACGACAGAGAAAGAACTCAGTATGCTTGCCAGGGTAAAGAGAAAACGAAAACAAAGGAATAATTACTCGGAGTCGAAGAAGCTCGATTGTACAGAGTGTGGCCGGTGGTTCCCAAGTACTACTCTATTAAATGCGCATAGCTTGCAGCATGGTACTAAGAGATCAGGTACATTAAAAATATGTGTTAAGATCGAAATTAAGGAAAAAACGTAATTTATTAGATGAAACGTAATTTGTCGAAGTTCAATATAAGACTGAATGAGAAATATTCTTTAATGTGTTGATATAATTGAAAATTTTTATTTTCTTGAAGTATATTATGCATGTATACGATTTAATATTTTTCTGTATGTATACATTTAATAAATTCAAAATTTATATAATGTTATATACATTGGATATATAAATTTTAATTAGCTTCTTAATAAAATTAGATGTTGAATTAAAATATTGTAGTCTGTAAGTGACGAACAACGAGTGAGACATAAGAATGATAGTAGATCTGAAATCAGTACTCCGATTCTGCAATTGATAGTGTCGTTATATTGTCATTGCGCAAATATTATACATGGAAAAAAAACGCGCCACGACAACATAACGATACCGAACTGAGTTACAGGTTCGGAGCACTGATTACTGCTGTTGTTTTGCTTATAGAACAACTGCGCAAGTGCCATATCTGCAAGAAGCATATAAAATCCAGGTTACTATTTTTGCGACACTTGAGAATGCACAACGATACACAACGCACTTCTGGTAGCTCATCCAGGATGGTACGGCGGAAGCTGCGCGCTCGGCCAAGCACGCGTAAAATCGCATCTCCTCGAAAACGAGGCCGACCGAGGAAGTTTTGATCTTTTTCGCTCGTTTGTAACATGTATAATACTATTAATACCGCCATTGTCGCTCGGAGTTTATTAATATATTTCATTTTTTTCTTTTTTAAAATGATAATTCAAGATAACATCTCTTTTATTATTAAGACGTTAGCTTGAATGTAAATAGCAAGTAATATCATGTTTACACGTTTCTTTCGTCGATTTATGTTTGAAAATTACTTATCAGGAAATCGAGAGAGATTCGATACAAATGTATAAATTTTTATTAGTTTTATTTTTAATAAATAATTTTATGAAGTTCGAATAATGTCTTGCGATTGTAATTTGCGATGAGTAACATTTTCAAAAAACTTTTAAATCTTAAACTTCAAAATTTCAGTCATTTATCGAAAAATCAAGAGATTTCAACTTTAATTGCTTTATTGGAAGAATTAAAAAATTTTTATTACTTGTGAGATGTTAAGTTAAAAGGAAGATTTCTTTTTGATATTATCATAAAAAAATGATTTCTATTTTCTATATAAAGATTTCTAGCTACGATTTGTTACTCCGAGGGACTTATAGACACTCCAGGATCTCATTGATCTCTTGTTAACATCCATAAAGTGCCCTAGCGGATTTTTGTAAATAAAACGATACGATAGGTTTGTTTGAAGTTCGACAATGCAATTTATAATATATATAAATTGTATAATATATATAAAAAATATATATACTAATAAGAAAAATACGCTGGTAAAACCTAAGGCCGTATGTATAAACAATATGATACATGCATTGTATTGACTTTTGTCTAATGCAATAAAATGATGAAACAAGGCTGTGGATCATAGATCCTAAAACAGGTCTGTTCTTTTCAATTGTACATGTTATATTACTTTTTTTCTGCATTTAAAATATGCAAAGCGAAAATTTAAATTATTTCGATTATCAATTTAAATTTTAAATTATTTCGTATATTATAATTTTTTTACTAGAAAATATTTTTCTTCGAAATATTTCGATAATTAAATACACATTCAGGATAATTGAACAGAACTTTATGAAATTCAATTTTTTTCTGCTTATTGTCATATTTGCATTAAAAAAAGAAACACAAAAAATGTTGAACAAAATGTGCAACTAAAAAGACTGGACATACTACAAAGTATGAAGTCGAATGCATCAAGAGATTGAAAGACATTAAATGAATATTTAAAAAAAACATTTATTGTGTTTAGAGCAAAATAAAACAGTCATTTCGAGAACATCTATAATACATTTTATATAGAACACGGTTAACGTAATATTATAAATGCGTTGAAACGTTTTTTCATTAGCTCTAATTTAGCAAAATTCTTTTTTCTAATCATCAATCAAATACTTCAAAGCATTTGTAATGAGACTTTAACTGTATACATACATCACAATAAAAATCAATTTCCTAAAAAATATAGAGTCTGGCTTTTTCAAGAAAGCTCATCTATTACGGTTTTATTTTTGTCCTTTTCCAGGTTATTCTATCCTCATAAAATCGAATAACAATCTGAGGATACTTGGCATTGGCTTCACTGGCAGAGACCATATCAACTGCATCTGTTCCTTTCCTGCGCAAATAAAATTATCCTTATTCATCAATCAGCTTCAATCGTTTTTAAATTATTCGTACTAACTTGAATTCTTTAAAATATCACCGAGATCTGAACTTGGATTTTCCTTATTTTGTGCAGGCATCTTACCAATTTGAGGCATATGATAATATTAGTCGCGATAGTAGGACGTATTACGTACCATTGTATCAAATACATCAGTTTTCCATTGTCATCCGCTGAGCCAAGGATCTTATCTGCTTCCAATTCTCTTTCGAATCCCTGTACTCTGCTGTCATCTATCATCGTCTCATCAGCATATACATCCGTTTTAATTTCAACATCGTCATAAGAATTTATCTCAGTCTGACCTATACGACACAAAAATAATTAATGTTATTGAGAATAAAAAAGAAGACATGAGAATTAATTTGTTCTTCCTTATCACAAGGATATATAAATAAAGAGAATGAATAAATTAAGAAAGATTAAAATCAAATTCGAAACATATGATATTAAAATAATTAATATCGTTGGAAATATACTCTAAGTTTTTCTAGTGTAATTTAAGCTAGTCATAGTAAAAATGAAAGTTGATAGATGTGAGATTTGTAGTATAAATTGAGCTTAAAATAAAATTAGAAAAATTATTTCACCTAAAATTTATTATAAAGATTGATAATTAGTAAAAATAGAATTATAATTTATAGTTGATATAAAATTGTCGTCCACTACCAATCGGTTATTTATTTAGTACATTTTTAGGTCCAAATGATTAGAACAACGAATAGCTTTTCAATTTCTTATCATTTATATTCGACAAATCTCTGAACAAATCTTTGAAATCGGTTCAAGAGAAGAAAATGAATTCAACGGAAGAGAAGGAATCAGACAAAAAGAACAATACGATAGAGAAAGAACTTGGTACGTTGGCCAGAGTGAAGAGAAAATGAAAATAAAAAGAAATAATTACTTGGTGACGAAGAATCTCGATTGCACAGACTGTGGCCGGTAGTTTCCCAGCGCTCTACTGAAGTACAGCTTGCAGCATGGTACTAAGATATTAGATATATTAAAACCAAAATTATACAAAAAAATAAGGGCAATCTTATGAATCGGGAGGCGACGGAAGAGCTGTATGAGCAAGTGACAAATTTCAATATAAGACTGAATGAGAAATATTCTTCTATATATTAGATTGTTTGGAAAATTCATTTCAAATCTTTTGTGACAAAGTCATAACGCCAAATAACATCCAAATGAGTCACGAATAATTAAAAAGTGATTTTTAATAATCATTGCAACTATTTTGATGTTATTTTGATGTCATTTATAACGACTTGTGCTTTATTTGGGAATTATATCTCAGGTATACTGTACAAGAAAATTTCAGAAATTAGTGTGCAGACTTTTGACAGTCACAATCAAATTTGAAAATATTTAGAAATAAAATCCTAAAATTTTCAGATTATTTTTTTGTAAGAAAATATGGTCACCATAGCTATTTACCCAGCTTCTGCAGATAGTTTTGCAAGGTGGAGATAGATTTGTGTAGAGTATTGTACGAGTTCTTTAACATTCGCAGATTTTAGTGTAGGAGGTCCTTCAGTGATAAAACATTTCTGAAGGACCTGGTAGGCCAGATCCGCAAATGTTAGACCTCCTGAGACCGCACAAAGTGAGGGCGTCAACTTACACGTTGAAATCGCCAGCTTCGAACCTTCGATGCCACCTCTAAATTGTGTAGAGCGTGATCTTTATACAAAGGCATCTTCATACAGAGAGGATATCAGTCAAGGTCTTCAAAGTTATGCAATGCAGGATCATTTGCAAAAGTCCGTCTGGTTCTTCGTTTTTTCACTCAATTTTGCCAATACAGTTGCATTTAAGAAGGTCTGTGAGATTTCCTTGGCCTTGGCAAACTCACAAATTCGAGGAAGTTTGCTGTCAAATTAGAGTAGAATTAGAGTAGAAGAGTCCGGTCACTGTTCTAATTTAAAAATAACGTATATGTATATGCACTTACATCTGCTTTTCAATTTTTTCATATGCTCAGTCATCATCTAATTGGTTCTGCCATTTTTCATCAAGCAAATAAAAAATCTGAGGGCAACAATGACCAGACTCTTAGGACAATAGAGGAAATATTAGTCCAGGTCTACAATTTTGCTTCAAGAGGCTGCAAGCCGTAAAAAATTGACTAATTACGATCGAATTTGAAAAACAAATTGTCGACTGTGATTGATCAATTTCTTACAGCTTTATGGCATCTTGAAGCAATATTGTGGACCTACTTAGGAGCACAATATAAGTATTAAGATTTTAATCTATTAAAAACTGTATATTCCGATGTAACTGCAGGTTTTTAGTAGGTTGAAATCTTAATACTTATTCTTGTCTCTATTTCTTCCATTGTATAGCCTCTTATTTTTATGGACTCTTAATACAAAATCGTTTGGACCACCCTCGCTCACTGATTATGACAATGCGGAGCGCAAAATTTGAAACAAACTTTCCAAACAATCTAATAGAGTCACAGACGAGATATTATTAAAGACGACCGGCTTTAATAATACTTTATTGGCGTTAGAGTTTTTGGCGTGAGTCTTTTTACTTTTTCAATCAGCTCTATACAGGGTTGGATAGTAACTAGTTAACAAGTTAAAAGTTAAATATGTAATAACACACTGTTAACTTAATTTAGTTAATTTCAAAAATAACTTTTAGTTTAAAAGTAATCGAGTTACTTTTAAACTTTAATGTATTAACTTTTTTCTTTTCAAGATAAACTTTGTTTTATTTCTCTAAACGCCAATATTTTTTTCTATAAAATCTTAAACGTTAAAAGATTAGAAAATTAGAATTCGGAAAAAGATCAATAATTAGGTGCATTGAGTACTACAACCGCTCTAGTAATTTTTAAGCCGTAATATATTGGCTAATCACAGATGAATACGAGGAAAATAATCGACTATGATGATTAATGGATTTCTTACGGCTTACTATATCCATTGTGTTTCGAGACTTACCAATCCATTATCTTCAGGATGCTTGATTGATTGTTTCTTGGTAAGTGAGGCTGGCATGAAGTCTTCTTCTCGAAAAGCAAAGGGATTCTGAGGGAAAATTCCTGTATCTCTAAACGCTTTAATTGCTTCGTCAATAGATGTAGCCTTGTGATAAGCTGTGCAAAAAATCTCTCCTATTCGATAAATTGTTATCGGCTGATTGGGGTGCTGTGATATCAATCGATTACACTTTTCTGTCATGAACTTTTTCAGTGATTCAAAAAAGGCCACGTTAAGTGGTTGTAATTTGTGGCTAGCGTATGGAGGTACAGATAACAAAATGATGCCGTTCTCTTGACAGTAATCAATTGCTGGCAAACTACAGTGGGATGAATGATTGTCCAATATGAGTAACACTGATCTATCTCGAGATGCCATTGCATACGTTGTAAAGTGTTTTAACCAGGTTACAAATAGTTCTGAATTTGTGAAACCAGAATCAGATACCATACCTAAAGTATTCGGTGGTGCTCTGTTACAAAATTCTGGCTTATACCTTTTCCGAGGGAAGATTAGAGCAGGTGGAACGTAATAGCCAGCAGCATTCATACAACACACTGCAGTTACTGTCTTTATATTATTTTGAGACATTACTTTTGATACTAAACATTTACGTTTAGATGACACAATTTTTGGAAATTTATTAGAAATAGTTACTGTAGAAACAGGTATAGATATGTTACTTTCATCCACATTATAGATACAACTGGCATCAAGTTTAGGATTTTCTGCTAAAATCCTTTTTAGATTGTCATGGAATTTGTTAAATTCAACCTTCTTGAACTTAAGGACTTTTCCTGAATGCATCTTTGGCCATCGTAAAGTTAATCCATATTTTATAGAAAATTTTCTGATCCAATGATCTCCTACCATTTTTTTCTTTTTGTTAAAATTGTGGGAAATATTATTCTGTTCAGCGTATTGATACACAACTGCCATTAACTGTTTTCTTGACATTCCATGAAATGTATCATGTATGATTTTTATCCGTTCTACCAAAGCTTCCTCCTGTTCTCTTGAAAAGGTTGGTTTGAATCTGCCTAAATTTAATGGCACTGTTCCCTGAAAAGGAGATAGCATAAAGTTTCATCTAAATGTCCTAATCTAGTTGCCTAAGCCTAAGCAAAGATAATTAATAATTTAGTACAAAAACAAGCCTGTGGAAATAAAATGAACTTACTGTTTTTAATCTCTTTCGTAATGTTGCTTCATTTGCTCCCACGATTCGAGCTGCAGCTCTTATACTGCAGCCTGCAGCAATATGTTCTTTAGCCTTTGTCAGCTGCTCCCAAGTAAATAGCTTTTTATTAGTTTTTCTTTGATATCTTGGTGACATCGTGCCTAGATTGTTTAGGTCATATTACTAATAGTTGATGTTTGCTAATGAAGAGGTTTGTTTTTTTTTTGAAGACAGTTCTGAACTACTATACAAACTAACAATAGTAAACACTAATAGCGTTTTCGATTTACTGACTCAACCTGACTCCAAATCTATGATCTATTCTTTTTAAATGTATTTCTTGCATAGTTTAGTTCTCTTGCAATTAATGTAAACTTATTCTACAATAACTGTAAACGTAAGGCCTGTTCTTTTCGGCTGTACTTTTGCACTAGTTCATCTTTCTTCTTCTTCTTTCCTCCTGAAGAGAAAAGGAAGAAAGATGAACTGTTGCAAAAGTTCAGCTAAAAAGAACAGGCCTATAGTTGTAAGCAGAATTGAACAACCAAGATTATGAAAAGAATATTCAATTGTAATTAGTTAATTCTTACAAATATAATCACTTAGAACAACGTTTATGGCTATTGTAGAACAGGCATAAAAAGAACAGAACACCGACTGAATTAACTCAAAGTCGAATCAATAAATCAAAAACGCTGTTATTAGTTCGGAACCGGTTCTTTCTTTTCCCGAAATAGATTTCCGACCTGCAGAGGCAGATCAATAAAGGTCGCAGTACCATGAAAACTCGTTCAGAACTCTTTAAAATAGAATAGTTTTCACGTGCGTACTCTTAGCACATAACGTTATATTTCACATTTAATATGATCGTATAAAAACTATTACATATCAACAATTTAAAGTAAAATCGATTAACTTATCTGTGACAAATACAATAAGAAAATGGTCCAAATCACAAAAAAAAGTACCTGTTTATTTATCGCTGCAATAATCAGTGACCTTTTGTTTCAATTGTTAACTAAAATGGTATGTCGAACGTTCAATATCAGTTACAGGTTATAGCTATACTCAGCTATACCGTGATCTAATTTATTTACACCGTAAAGCTTAATGCGTACTCTTGAGAAGTAGATACGTACTCTTTAGCAGTTTTACCCACCGACCAGATACTGCTTAAAAATATCTTTTTAAAAATGATCTTTTTATTGTGTACAAAAAAAATACGTTGTCATATAAATTACTTATTTATTACTTCATATAATTTACAAATGAAATATTAAATTTGTTGCATGATTTATACATCGTAATTATTTTTTTAAATATTTCATATAACGCTTTCCCTCTGATTTTTTGTAATTTTATAAATTTATGTATTTTCATGCATAGAATATATTTCGAAAAAGAAAATCGTCGGTCAAGTTCTATTTCCTTTTTTATTTCAGTTTTTTTATGTAGGTAAGTTAGAAAATGATAATATCAATTTTTAATCTTTTGCTTATCTTTGTATATTTTCGGTTTTGATTAACAAAACATTTTAATTATTCTCTTATATAACTTAAATTACGAAGAATAGTTTGCGATTCAAAATTTATACCCTTTTTATTCTTTTTACGTGAACATAAAAAATTTGAAATTAAAGGAAGGAAACGGAGCGATGATTTTTTTTCAGAATATATATATTTACACACGAAAATACAAATTTATAAAATTACAGAAAGAAGAACATTAAATATTTACTCTTTTAATACATAATTGAGGAGCCTATTCTCCAACTCTTAAGGGGATGCTGGAGTGACCAAATTACTACGTTACAACCGTATAAAAATCTTCGAATTGATTGAATGAAATAAAAAATCCTTTTACAGGATTAAAGTAGATGCAAAATTAGGAGATGGTGCAGTGAACCTTGTACTAAAATCGAAAAAAAGTTAAAAAATTTTTTAACATTCTTTCAATTTTAATATAAAATCCTCTTAATTTTGCGTCTACTTTAATCCTTGTCAAAGGATTTTTTATTCCGTCAATTCAAAGATTTTTATACAACTGTAATATGATAATTTGGTCACTCCAGCATCCCCTTAACGACTAAAACAGTTACAGATGTCAAGAGTGACGGAATAGGTTCTTAAATTCATTTTATAAGCCATCAATTTTAACTTCATTTAATTTTAAAACAACATTATTCTTACTAATTCTGATTCTGCGATATACTATATAGTATATACGTTATATTCCCTTTCTACTCAGTATATGCGAAGCGAAAATTTAAATTATCCAATTATCAATTTAAGTTTTAAATTATTTCGTATGTTACATTTTCTTTACTAAAAAATAATTTTCTTCGAAACATTTCGATAAGCGAGTACACATTCAGGATAATCGAATAGAACTTTATGAGACTTTTTTCTACTTATTTCTGATTGCACATAAGAAAAAAAAGAAACACGGAAAAACTCTTTGTTACAGACTACAAAACATGCAACAAAAAGAATAGACATATTGCTAAATTATAAAGTCGCATTTATCAAGATTAAGAGGAATTAAATTAATGTTTAAAATAAAATAAAACAGTCATATCGAGAATATTTTTTATATAGAGCACGGTTAACATGATACTATAAATGCGTTGAAACACTTTTTTATTAGTTAATTAGTAAAATTCTTTTTTCAATGAAATGCTTTAAGGCATTTGTAATAAGACTTTTAACCGCACCCATAAATCACAATAATGGTCATTGTTCTAAAAAATGCAAAACCTAACTTTTTTAAGGAAACTCATCTATTACGGTTTTATTTTTGCTCTTTTCCAGGTTATTCTGTCCTCATAAAATCGGATAACAATCTGAGGACACTTGACATTGGCTTCACTGGCAGAGACCATGTCAACTGCATCCGTTCCTTTCCTGTGCAAACAAAATTATCCTCATTCATCAATCAGCTTCAATCGTTTTTAAATTATTCGTACTAACTTGAATTCTTTAAAATATCACTGAAATCCGAACTTGGATTTTCCTTATTTTGTGCAGGCATCTTACCAATTTGAGGCATATGATAATATTAGTCGCGATAGTAGGACGTATTACGTACCATTGTATCAAATACATCAGTTTTCCATTGTCATCCGCTGAGCCAAGGATCTTATCTGCTTCCAATTCTCTTTCGAATCCCTGTACTCTGCTGTCATCTATCATCGTCTCATCAGCATATACATCCGTTTTAATTTCAACATCCTCATAAGAATTTATCTCAGTCTGACCTATACAACACAAAAATAATTAATGTTATTGAGAATAAAAAAGAAGACATAAGAATTAATTTGTTCTTCCTTATCACAAGGATATATAAATAAAGAGAATGAATAAATTAAGAAAGATTAAAATCAAAATATTAAAATAATTAATATCGTTGGAAATATACTCTAAGTTTTTCTAGTGTAATTTAAGCTAGTCATAGTAAAAATGAAAGTTGATAGATGTGAGATTTGTAGTATAAATTGAGCTTAAAATAAAATTAGAAAAATTATTTCAACTAAAATTTATTATAATAATTGATAATTAGCAAAAATAAAATTATAATTTGTAGTTGACGCGAAATTGTCGTCCAGTACCAATCAGATATTGATTTATAATAGATTTTTAAGTCCAAATAATTAAAACAACAAATTCAATATCTAGGCTGTGTTCCAAAGTTCACTGTCAGCGCTGAAAATGTATAGTACACGTAAACTGTAGATTTTCAGCGCTGGCAGTGAATTTTGGAACACAGTCCTAGCTTTTCAATTTTTGGTCATTTATTCAAAAAATCCTTAAACAACTGCTTGAGATTGGTTCAAGAGAAAAAAATGAATTCAACAACAGAGAAGAAATGGATTGACTAGAACGATACGAGAGAAAGAACTCGTTATGTTTACCAGAGTGAAGGAAAAATGAAAGCAAAGGAATAATTACTCGGAGACGATGAAGATCCATTGCGTGGACTTGTGGTTCCCAAGCAGTCTACTGGAGATTCACAGCTTGCAGCAGGGCACTAAGAAATTAAAATCGAAATTATGTAAGTATATTAAAGTATATTAAAATCAAAATTATATAAGATTAAAAATAAGGAGGCAATCTTATGAATTAGGTGGCATATGCGAGAGGAGAGATGTACGACCAAATAGAAGGCTTAGGCTAATATTACATTTGTCGTACGACAAACTTTTCAAGCGTGTTAATTGGCTGCAGAACAAGAGATCCGAGAACATCTTTGTCCTGCAGCCAATCAACGGACTCAAAAAGCTTGTTGTATGACAAAAACGTATGTAATATTGGCCTTACTGTATGGCCCTTGTGTAACCAAATAAATATAAATTGGAATAAATTTTTTTGCATAAAAATCATTCTTTAAACTTTAAATGCTTTTTTCTCGAAACGACGTTTTCAAAGTCAGGCAGTATATCTCAAGAATTCCCATATAGCACATAATTTGCAGCAATATCGCTGCAAAATCTCTATAATATTGCTGCAACACGCAATGTTGCAGCAGTGTTGCGCAACTTTTGTGCAACTTTGTGCTGTTAATTCAATCGAGTTCAAATTTGAAGGTTTTGTAAAACATATTTCTACCGGGATTCACCGCGGTAGAAATAATAATTTAATAATTAATTTTCTTAAATAAAAACAAACTATGTGAAGTCTGTCCCAAAAGTATCGGGTCTCTGCCTACATCATGAGAAAGAGTTACTACGGAGTGACATGGACAATGCCTTCAATATAATCTCTCTTCGAAGCAATGATCTTCCAGCGGTCCATTCACTTATGTAAGTAGTGCTGGAAGTCATTTTTTGTGATGGCCAGCAGCTCCCACTTCGCATTCAGTTTTATTTCATCAATGTCGTCAAATTTCATACAAGATCTTTGTAATAAACCCTTTTATGCACCTCTTTTTGGATGGATTCCAAAACATCTTTGTTAACTTCGAATCGAAACTCCTTTTGATTTTGCTTCAGCACTTTCGAAACGGATTTTCTTGAACACACGCGAGTTACTCCAAGATCTTTAACCAAAATTCGAGAAAGGGTAGTTTTTGGAATTCCAAGGTTCTCCACCAACTGTCGCACGGTCAAACAACGATTTTCCTTGATTGCGACCCGCACACGTTCTATGTTTGCCGCCGTTCTCGACGTCGCTGGTCTGCCGACCCGACGATGACTGTCCACCGAGATACGGCCACCTCTGAACCGGTTGAACCACCATTTTACTTGTGTATCACTCATAGAGTTGTTGCCATAGATTTTGCGGATAATGTCGATTGTCGCTGAACATGAGTGGCCAAGTTTTTGGCAAGATTTAATAAAAACTTTCTGATCCATTAGCTCAGTCATTGTAAAATGCGACGGTCGGACCAGGTCGGAGTAATTTTCGACACCCACAACGGCTAACTGTTGCCGACTGAACAACTATTTGGTGATTGGTCGTGACGTTTAGTGGGGATCTTTGGGATACTTCTCAATGCTTCTCAAGATCCACACCCTAAATACTGACCGTACTCCACAAGAGAAAGAGAGGGGGCGGGGAGGGGAGGGAAGGGAAGGTAGGAGGAAGGAGGGATGATGGGAGGGAGGAAGGGAGGGGAGAGGAAATGGCAAGAACAAAGATATATACTCAGAAGTCGAGTACTTTTGGGACAGACTTCGTAGGCTGTGTTCCAAATTTACTGCCAGCACAGAAAATGCTACAGTTTACGTTACGTGCACTATATATTTTCAGTACTGCAGTCAATTTTGGAACACAGCCATAAATAATGGAAGCTTTCCAACAAGAGAGTGATATGATGAATCGTTGCATCCTTGTTGTTCGCCAATGTTAAACAGGGATGAGGTGATCGCTGTGTCGCACAGTGTCGCTTGTTGGAAAGCTCCCAATGTATATTAAATAAGCCAGGAAATTTTAAAAAAAATCAAGAAATTTCTTAAGAAAAAAATGTAATACATCTGCATCCAATTTTTGGCTGAATTTATAGGGTTGCTTACTTAAAGAACAATGTAGTTATTAGAATAACAAATATAAGACTGCAAGAGAAATCTTCCACATATTAGGTTGTTTGGAAAATTCGTTTCAAATCTTTTATGTAAATTAAGGACGCAATATTTTATCAGATATTTATACAGTGATGATCATACCCCTTCAAATGCCGCACTAATGAGTATAAATGTTTACGGAAACAACCGATAAAATATCACAATAACGCCAAACTAACGTCAAAATTAGTCGTGAATAATGTAATTGAAAAGTGACTTTTAATAACCAAATTATGCAGTTATTTTGATGCAGGGTTGAGTAGTGCTAAGTTAAAAAGATAAAGTTAAGTAAAAGTTAATTAATTTTAACTTAACTTAGTTATATTTTAGACTTTTAACTTTTTAACTTAATTTAGTTACATTTTATCAGTAACTATTAACTTTTAATTTGATTTTTTTGAAGTCAATCCTCAGACACAATGCGAGAGGATGAGTTTATAATTTAGTAATTTTATATTGAATAATCGTTACTTGTGAACAAAAATAACCAGATTCTTTAATAAATATGATGTGAAAAAGAAAAAATACGAAAAATTATGTAAAATGGTCGAACTTTTCCTTTTTCTTTTTTTTTATTGTTCGTTCGGACCAAATTTAACTTTTAACTTTCCAATTACTTTTTTTTATTAATTTAACTTTTAATTAAATTAATTTCATTATGGATTAACTTGTATTTTAATTAAGTTAAACTTTCAAAGCTATTAACTTTAACTTAACTTAGTTAAAAAAAAAAGTTAACTTACCCAACCCTATTTTGATGTCATTGTGATATTATTTATAACGACTTACTTAGGAATTATCTCAAGCAGGGTTGGGTAGTGCTAAATTAAAAAGATAACAGTTAAGTTAAAAAGTTAAAAAGATAATTAATTTTAACTTAACTTAGTTACATTTTAGACTCTTAACTTTTTAACTTAATTTAGTTACATTTTATTGGTAACTATTAACTTTTAATTTGATTTTTTT